AACAAACATCCATCTAGACATCCAAACTTTCGCATTTATAATATTAGACGGTAACCCGTGGTAGGGGCGTGAATTTATATCGCAAGCGTCTCGAATCCGGCAGGTTACGCTCGCGATATTAATTTTTGAGCGTCGCCACCCGCCGTTTGTTCGCGATTTATGCTAATCGACCGTTTGTGTCGCTCAGCTTTGTTATCGCGCGAACACATAACAAGCTACGAGTGGCCTATTCGTGGCGTAAATCTGACACGTAACTTGTCACTCAGTCGAAAACGCTTGACAAATATGGAGCGCACAGATGTGCGTGGCGTGACGTGGCACGCCCTTAGAAGTTTATTTGCATATACACGAAACTTTCAGCTTTTTGCTGAATCATTGGGCCTAGATCATAATATGTCTACTGCTCAAGAGTTTGCCGCACAATGAACAGTTACTAAATCTTAAACAACTGACCTAATAACCATTAATTAAAGTCTATGCATGGAATACACTTCACGTGAAAACCATCGCAACCAACTCTATGCTGTATACATGAGGCTTTTAAGTTGGAAATGTAGTACACTAGATAATTGTATTCTATAGCGATAATGGGGCTCTTGATTAAGTTGTTAATGCCTGAAACCCTAATCCGTAACATGATGTCGATGTGTCTATATCATCTTGCAGATAAATCGATCTAGCTATAACTAACTAAGTCGGCTTAGAAACCGTTATCTCTGTGGTTGAGGATTCCGGGTAAAGCTCGCTTCCACCTTCAGCCTAATCATTACTTTCCTTCAGGTGAGATGTAGGGCAAGAGCTTCCTTGTTGTGGAAAAAAACCATTAATGTGAATGTTTATTGCGAAAGCTTTATAAAACATTTGCACAATATTAAGGGGCCACGTAAGCTTCTGAAAGCTCGCAGCGAATCCTTAGATCTGCAGACATTTTTAAGTTATTTGCGAAAAAAAGCCCTTCGTTCTAAGGAAACGGGACGACATCAAAAACAGAGGAGAGTTCTGGAAATAACTCCTCCACCTGCCACCAGAGTACAAGCTCAAGTCAAATAAAAACTTGGACACAAACACTAAGGGAAAGAAGGAAGGTGCAAAAAACCCATAAAATTCTAATTAATATTTCTCTTAACCCTTCCAACTAAGCTAAATAAAGTCTGTTAGGACTGAACTACAACTACGACTGAAATCGGCAATCATCTCAGAATCAGATTCAGTTATCGGAACCTATTCCTGGAAAACTTCAATTAATGTCATAATATTTTCAACCCATTTAACTGCATTTTTTATATTTTTCAAAGTAAGAGAGTGTTCATGACACATTTTCTCTATCTTTCTACAATAACAACAAATTCTACAACAATATTCAATTGACGTGAAAAATTATTTGTTCATAAACGTAACTACATTGCTCAATTTCATAACCGACAAGTCCTGTTAGTTCTCACTTAATAATAAAATCACATGAACCGCGCTTTGCTGTGAAAATACCATTGTAAATATGACCAGCAGGGCTAAGATGCGCGCCGTGATAAACTGCTATCGCGGCGTTATATCGATTTTGACGTCACTATATCGTTTTATCTACCGGCGCTAACATGGCACCCCGAAAATTATCATGTCATCTGTCAAAATGTGATAGTGATAGATTTGTTTTTTTTTTTTGTGATAAACCTGGCAAGCCCTAACATGAAGCGCTAACTATATCATATTTTGACATCACGATAGGATAGGATGTGGTGTTTTTATCGTCCTCGATCCTTGCCCACGATAGCAAGACGATAGGAGATTAACTTTTTTGCAAGCTACTTTAACTCTATTTATTTATCATTTATAATGGTAAATGACATTTTACGACTAATTTGAGGCTAGTAAAATTCAAAGAAAGGAATCTAGCACCTTTGTGATACTTTTACTTCTAGGTGGAGATTGAGTTCTAGTTCAAGAGTGTATCAGTGTGAGGCAATGATATTAAAGATTTTATACAGGGTGACTGGAACTGAACCCGCCATAGCTAATACGCGTATAGAGGAGGTCATTTGCTGATTATTGAACCTTACTTTCAATAACTAATGTTTTATAGTTTAGGAGATATGACAATTTTTATACTTTTTTCAGATTTTTCCGAAATTTGACCTAAAAACTGCTTCAATTTTTTTTCTCGCATGATTTTAGCCGATTTTTTAATTTGATACTAATATCGAATATGTCTTTATTCAAATAAAATAAATTTCTGATCCAGGTAATGATTGAATAGCTAGTTACAAGCTGTCAAAGTCGAACACAAGTACAAACCACGATAAAAAATTCTACTTCGATTTCGATTGAAACAAAAATTAATGGTGATAATAAATTGCCAATAATCTTAAAAATATCTCTAGCTTCTCTTCTTTCTAATGATGTATCACATGTTGTATTTAGATATTGAAATTTGTCAAAAATTTAAAGTTTATGGACGAAAATGGAGAAATAATACAAAAATTATTGAATACAAAGTTGATTTTGATTTTTTTTGAAGTCTTTTCTTCATAATGTGATTATTATTTTTAAATTATTTTTCCAAAAAACACTCAAAAATACTTATGAAAAGGAGTATAGCAGAAAATATGAGATTTTGAAGAAACTTTGTATGGATAATTTTCGTATTATTACTCCATTTTCTTCCATAAACTTTGAATTTTTAATAAATTTCAATATCTAATTACTACGTGTGATATATCATTGGAAAGAAGAGAAGGTAGAGATATTTTTAACATCATTGGCAATCCATTATCACCATTAGTTTTATTTTAAATCGAATTCGAACTTGAATTTTTTATCGTGGTTTGTACTTTTGTTGAACTTTGGCGGCTCGTAACTAGTTATTGAATCATTATCTAAATCTGAAAGTTATTTTATTTGACTAAAGGTTTATTCGATATTAGTATCTAATTAAAAAATCGGCTAAAATCATGCGAGAAAAAAAATTGAAGCAGTTTTTAGGTCAAATTTCGGAAAAATCTGATAAAAGTATAAAAATTTACATATCTCCTAAACTATAAAACTTTAGTCATATAAAGTAAGGTTCAATAATTAGCAAATGACCTCCTCTATACGCGTATTAGCTATGGCGGGTTCAGTTCCAGTCACCCTGTATAATATCATTGGTGTGAGGCGAATCTTGCGACAGTTTATAATCGCTAGCTGCAAAATCTTAGTGCTCCCACAGTCCCACCCACATATTAATTATTACATTACCTACCTTGTAAAATAACCATTACTTACCTACTTAGGTAGGCAGTCAACAGTACATCAGACAATACATATTAAGTTGCAAATGTCGTGAGATACCCCACAGTGTTTAGCTTGATTTAAGTACCTACTGTCATTACATAATCTTGTAAAATTATTGAAAATGGGGCGGAATGTGGTGACCGAGCTTCTTGTGTCTACATCAAACAGTGGCAAGGTCATTGTCAGAAATTAGCATTGGGTGGGATGTGTAATCAAACTTGCTATAATAACAATGAGAATAAATGAATTTTACTAATTTTATAACTTGATGGTGATACCATACATACATTCCACATTACTATCAATCTAATTCCTCCATGTGGTCTTTTTTAAGGGCTTTAATNAAAAAACTACAATCATCAAACATCACTTACTAGAAACGTTCACGTCTACAGACATCACAATTTTGCTTGCAGCAATTTAGGCACATAGGTTTATCATAATAAGTTCTAGTGAACCTAGTACATTTTATTACATGGCTAAGGCAAATGGCACATGTTCTTTTAACCCCAGAATGGTTTTGGGACGAGGCAGAAGTTGGTCTAGGTGGTAATTCATCAACATCAACTGAACGCAGCTCGCGGGGTAGGGTAGTCATTATAAGTCACGAGTTTCAATTGAGGTATAACTAAAGAGCTATCCAATGATAATAAGAAGCTGCCCCTAGTTACCTTGTTAGTATTGTCGCAATCACTGTTTAAGACGTAAGAATTTATTCCTGAAAAATATCGACTGAGCTAAGCTATAGAATATGATTATACATAGGCCAATAAGGATGTTGAATAGTTGAAACACTTTGTTCCACCTCATCCATCAACCCCTCCTATTTCGTCAGGACACTGTTATTCAATGGTGGAGGTGTTGATTTCATCTCCAGATTGCTCAGATTTGGTAACATGCAGACTTTCTAAAACGAAGTCAGGATCGCCTATATCGTCGTCAAAACTACTACACTCGTCGTCGCTCTCTGTTAGAAGCTCCTGTATTATACCTCGCTGACTAAGAACCCTCCTTCTTTTGACAGACCTCGTTTATTTATCGTGAGACATTCTATAAAAGATAATAACAATACATTACCACCGCTGTGACGTTCCTCAAACACTATGAAGTTGTGTAAACTAACTGTGAGGTGACGAACAACAGACACATAGGTAAAATACACATTAGCACTGACCTGACGTCTGTGAGACGGCGAAAGCTGCACACAGGCAACACAGGAGACCCTGAGCTGGTGCGCCCCCTACTGAGCGAAAGTGTATGGCAAACGCGGAAGGTACCAAAAGGCACGGGGAGAAGCGACAAAAAGGCGGGGAGATAAATAAAAAAAACGAAACGCGGTGTCTGAGAGACGGGCAGGTCACCAGTTAAAGGTTAATGACGTTCTCACTGCTTTAAGATATGTGTTTTTAGCCGAATTAGTAGCAGAAATGAACGAGATTGAACGAATGAACTAAAATATTTCAAGGTTGGCCAACATAATAACGCAATTTTTTCTTAATATGGCAACAATTCGGTTATCACGCGATAGCGGTCGATAGACTTTTCTATCGATGGTCCCATGTTAGGGAAAATGATAAAATTATCTACGTGATCGAAAATTGTCTTATCATATTATCATGTCATTGTCGATGCGCGCATCTTAGGCCTACAGTAGGCCATTTCTGCTACTAATTCGGCTAAAAACACATATCTTAAAGCAGTGAGAACGTCATTAAAAAAAAGTTATGTCAATTTTGTTGACATTACCTACATGACTGCTTGATTGTATTTGTTTGTGTTTTTAAAATTGTATTTTTATGTTTCCAGTCTTATTTTTAATATTTCTAAAGTACGGAAAATATCAAACGAAGAGATAACCAAGTTAAAGAAAAACAATGAAGAATTCCTAATCATACCGATAGTATTAAAGAATGAAGTCTTCAAAATTAACAGAATAACCGAACTCCACTACCTACCCCATAATGCGAGGTTTACAGTAATTATTCAACTTACATGAAGCAGTCAGAAAGTTTATTGAGATTTGAGAAATAAAGTTACACTCATAAGTAGCAAAGTAAGTACCTAAAGTCTAAAATATTAGCTATACTCCGCAGATCTTGATTTTCATAAGTAACAGCACCGGAGAAAAGGAAAAATATCTTTATTCCTACAAATAAGCTTTCACCTTCTTTCCTATATTTATTTCACATAGTTCTTTCACCGTGTAATAATACTGTGATCAATATTTTGTATGTAAACTTAAAATACAAATAGGATTAAGTAAATGTTTCTATTTATGAACTGTTTATGTAATTGTAATATTTATAATTGTGTTTAAATAATATTCTTTCTTTTTTCAGACAGTGGATGAAGAAGTGTGGGATTATGAGTGATTATTTCATTCTAAAGCAGACATAATCAAGTCTTGCTCACTATCATGAAAATTTACAATAACAATCAGCAAGAAAAACTTCAAGGGTACTGGCTAGGCTAACCAATTCATGGAATTCTGTTTGTATTTGAAATTATAAATAGCTATTGTAAAACAAAAGTTTTCCAAATAAAGATTTTGTAAATAATGGTTGAATTATTTTGAAATTACACTGCAATAATGAATTTATTGCCTGCGTCCAGCGCCTTTCTGCTACCATTATGATGTCGTCGGTCCACCTTGTGGGTGGACGTCCCACGCTGCGTATTCCGGTACCCGGCCTCCACCCCAGAACCTTGCTGCCCCATCGGGCAACATGGAAAGCATTGGGGGAGGCCTAAGTTCAGCAGTGGACGTCCTATGGCTGAGATGATGATGAATTTATTATAATGGAATAAATTGTACAAGATTATCATCCTGTCACATTAAAGCCCTTAAAAAAGACCACATGGAGGAATTAGATTGATAGTAATGTGGAATGTATGTATGGTATCACCATCAAGTTATAAAATTAGTAAAATTCATTTATTCTCATTGTTATTATAGCAAGTTTGATTACACATCCCACCCAATGCTAATTTCTGACAATGACCTTGCCACTGTTTGATGTAGACACAAGAAGCTCGGTCACCACATTCCGCCCCATTTTCAATAATTTTACAAGATTATGTACAGATGACAGTAGGTACTTAAATCAAGCTAAACACTGTGGGGTATCTCACGACATTTGCAACTTAATATGTATTGTCTGATGTACTGTTGACTGCCTACCTAAGTAGGTAAGTAATGGTTATTTTACAAGGTAGGTAGTGTAATAATTAATATGTGGGTGGGACTGTGGGAGCACTAAGGTTTTGCAGCTAGCGATTATAAACTGTCGCAAGATTCGCCTCACACTGATAAACTCTTGAACTAGAACTCAATCTCCACCTAGAAGTAAAAGTATCACAAAGGTGTTAGATTCCTTTCTTTGAATTTTACTAGCCTCAAATTAGTCGTAAAATGTCATTTACCATTATAAATGATAAATAAATAGAGTTAAAGTAGCTTGCAAAAAAGTTAATCTCCTATCGTCTTGCTATCGTGGGCAAGGATCGAGGACGATAAAAACACCACATCCTATCCTATCGTGATGTCAAAATATGATATAGTTAGCGCTTCATGTTAGGGCTTGCCAGGTTTATCACAAAAAAAAAACAAATCTATCACTATCACATTTTGACAGATGACATGATAATTTTCGGGGTGCCATGTTAGCGCCGGTAGATAAAACGATATAGTGACGTCAAAATCGATATAACGCCGCGATAGCAGTTTATCACGGCGCGCATCTTAGCCCTGCAGGTGAAAACTAGTGTACCTACGACGACGTATGGAAGCCTCGTGCTAGTTGCTACATCATGTTTGCTTGTACACGAGTTCCCAGGGCTATCGCAAAGTTGTGTGGTCAATTAAAAGGAAAAGCAAGTTCGATAGCAGCTAGGGTTGACACTATGAGAGATGACTATTCAGCAGAAAAATAAAAATAGGCGACAACCATCTTATCTTATATCTTACCTACCTTACTTCTTATGTTATTAAAAAGGAAAGATTTTATTGTTCGTTTGTTTGTATTGAATAGGCTCCGATAGTACTGGACAGATTTGAAAAATTCTTTCACTATCTTTTTACATCATTTTTGATAAATATTTATGCGGAAGGTACGAAGTTCTCCGGGTCAGCTATTTTGTAGCAAAATAGAACGCATTACGAGTACATTATACGCCACAGTGTTAAAGCTTCAAGTATCCCATTGGCATGTGTATTTCAATCTTACTTCTTATTGTGTTTCAGTATTCGATTTATGTTAGTTATTGATGTACCAATGACAAAGATTGAAGTGTGAAAATATTTTTTACAAAGAAAATGTTTTTTCTTGTATAAAAGACTGACGCCCTGTCGAACAGAGCTAATAATAAATTATGTGTCATAAATAATGGTGTTTTGAACAGGGGTTGAGTTTTTCTGTTACTAAATAAACAACTCGCGGGGTTTTCATTTGTTTGGTTCTTTATTACTTATGAAGTAGTTGGTATAAATATAAATAATAAATTTCGGAAAGCGAAACATAACATCGGATTAAAACAGGTCAGCCCTCACATAGTTTCATAAAACTACATTGTTGCTGAATTTCATACGTTACATAATATTATCCCGGGAACATGTACCCCGTTGTGAATTGATGAACCGTAGTTAGTACGTATTTTGTAATGTCCTTGAAATTCTTGTATACTGAATAACTGCGATGAAAATTAAAACAAAATGAATTATGTGTACCTAAATAATTATGGTGAATTTTCCAGATTTCCACGCACAAATTCAATAAAAAAATGTTCTACGACCATCTTATCGCATTACGTCTTTGGCAGCACTATTCAGATTAAACATTGTCTGTTCAGCCAAACCTCAAAGCTATCGTCATTGCACGTTATGGAGACATGGAATTTCCTGTTAGACATTTAACGTATCGGTCACGTCCGCCACACTGTAGATTCCCAGGTATATTGTTGACCATCGCTTAAGCCTTACCTAACTGACGAGATTGCCATTCGATGTGACCGTAGTGCGGCCGAGATCTCAAAGGATTGACAGGATAGTGCTTTGTAGTCTGCTTCTGACTACTGCCCACAGTCGTGCCCTAAGATATTTATTCATTAGGTTTGTGTGTGTAAGGCTCAGTGATGGCACTATTGTGAGTCCGATTCTGTGCCGTATATACGCAGCTAATAACGTTCTTTGATGCAACCAGGGAAATTCTACTTGTTGAAATGTATTGTATTAGTTTTAAGACTACAAGACACGTGGGAAGTGTAGGCTAAATCCTGCATTTGAATATGGTAAACTATAGAGGGTTTTGCTCCTGCAGTAGAGACTAAATGGCCTGATGATGATGAGAAAACATTAATAAAGTTAGGAAGAGTCATCAAAATTATGAGCTTAGCAAGGTTTTCATAACATCACAACGTGAACAGTAATAATAGCGACATAACAGGTTGGTGTACACGCTCGTAAGGGCTCTCCACTGCGTCGCATCCATATTCAGATAGGTATATCATTACGTAACAAGGTAACCATATTTATTAGGGTGCACCAGCCTTGCTTACGCTATTACGTCGGCAGACTGATCAGGTTATACGTAATTCAGGTACAACGGTAGGTCGTAGTCTCTTGATAACGTTAAGTGCTCCTTCACGAATAAAATTATTAGCATTCCGAATTCTATTAGACGTAGATGAAACACGAAAGTTATAGTAATCTAATAATAAAGTTATAGTAATAGGATGAAAGTGGGTAGAGCTAAGTGCTTCGTGAATTATTATGAATGCGAAAGGAATATTTTTTCTACGTAAAATTATTTTATTTGTGAGGAAAACATTTCAATCTTATCATCTTTGATCCCATTATCTTTACTCATCAACAAATTAGAATGAGATCAAACGTGAACTCATTTCCATTGAATACTTATTGAACAGGTGTTTTTGAGCCACATCATTTTATAACTCTTTGTGTAGACACATTCTTTATATGTATAATCCAGTAATACTTACTTAACTTATCGAGTAATGCAGGTTTTCTAAGATTAGAATATCTACGGTTTATGTTTATAAAATTAAAAGACAATTTAAACAATATTAAAGTGTAAAACAGATTCAAAGACAGTTGAAATCCGGATGTGGATTAGGATTGAATAATTATAGGGAAACGGGCATAAGTCATTATAGGAAATATTTTATACGTCTGAAGTTTAATGCGAACACAAAAATTATAAAGCGACGTTAAAGGCACTAATTTAATGAAAAATAACCACAATGTTTAGGGAGTCAATCGATTTCCTTAACGAAGTATCGAAGGTACTTAGGAATTAAAACACCTTTGAGTTCCCAGCCTTGAGGCGAGAGCTCTAGTTAATTGAAGGACGCCGGTAAAATGTCTTATACAGACAGCTTAACACTATTGCACCTTATTCTGTCGTAATAGAGATAATTTTGCAACAACAATGTATAATCTGATGTTATGTAGTACAAACATCACAAAGAAAAGCTATTAGATGATAATGCACCTGAAAAACATTTCGCTCGTCGTCTTAAGAGCGGCGCATTTTTCTGCCTATTTATTTAACGAATGGGCGTACTTACATCGATGGTAATAAATTCAAGCTCTGACAATGCATTAATGTACATGAATCAGTCTTACTGAAACAAAGCAGTAAATAGCCCAAAGATTTCGCCATCTCAATTGCTAGTTCGGATTCCTGTGATGATCAGTAGTGAACCTATTTTTACACAATTAAATCTTCTCTGGATAAAAGGGGAAGATTATTTTCTTTTTAACAAATCGTTAATAATAATCCTTTTAAAAATGTTTAATTATTTCTTCTGCGTGAATCAGAAATGAGGAGATCCGTAGGAGAACCAGAGTGACTGACATAGCCCGCAGAATCGCTAAAATGAAGTGGCAGTGGGCAGGGCATATAGCTCGTAGATCTGACGACCGCTGGGGAAGGACGAGAGCGTAGCGGTGTGGAGATGTGCCGAGCGATGCGGTGTTTCATAAATAGCATTAGACTGCCAGGCAGTGTTGCCAACTCGGATTTTGAAAAAGTCGTAGGACAGATTAGAAAATTACGTAGAAATGGTACAATTTCCATATAGAAAATACGTAGATCTACGTACTTTTTTTTCTGAGTGAAATGAAGAGAGTAGGGGTAGGTAAAAGAAATAAAACGACAATTTATATTACCCTAAAAGTAGTAAAGTACACTTTTATTGTGTATCATTTTCAGACAAATTAAATTTATACATAATTATATTTGTTGGAAAGAAGGAAGGAAGTTGAAAAATATCGTAATACAACACAACAACACCTTCGAAATCTTAGCACAATCTTAGTTCGAAATATTTTTATAGCGTCAGTGACATTTACAGGGGGGCGCTGTACAGCATTTTTTCTATGGGGAAATGTCAAAATAACATTAGTTCCGACTTTTGCCACATGCCAAATAACCGTGATCGGAACCATGATCGAACTTTTTCGCGAAAGTAAAGGAAACGATGCCCATTCAGCCTATTTTGCAAATTTGATAGAAAATACGTAGATTCTGGGACTAAA